GGAAGATGAGAACTGGCGAAGTTGTAGTACAACTTTAGTACGCGGAGCATATGGGGAGCTGGAAGATGAGAACTGGTGACTTTGTAGTACAACTGTAGTACGTGGAGCAGTCTGTGGAGCTGGAACCTGAGAACTGGCGACTTTGTAGTTTAGTACGCGGAGTATCTGGAGAGCTGGAAAATGAGAACTGGCGACTTTGTCGTACAACTTTAGTACGCGGAGTATCTGGGGAACTGGAAGACGAGAACTGGCGACTTTGTAGTACAACTTTAGTACGCGGAGTATCTGGGGAGCTGGAAGCTGAGAACTGGTGACTTTGCAGTGCAACTTTAGTACGCGGATGAGTCATCTCTCGCGGCTGAGTCATCTCTCGCAGCTGCTCTGGCGCCCCTGCAGCTGAGTCATGTCTCCCGACCACCCGGCTCTCTTAAAAGGTTGACACACACACACACACACAGAGACCCACGCACTGCCTCAACTTACTCGGAGTCACAGACAGAGACTCATACACACACAGACATAGATACACACACACACAGAGACCCACACACTGCCTCAACTCACTCGACTTAACACTTCACACTGAACACTTAACTCACACTCTGACTTCCTACGTGATGAAAAATGCTTTCGGGCCACTCGTCGTCTAGTTTAAGCAAAGTGAGAATCAAGCTGTTGAACGTCCAAAAAAAGGGCATCTAGATCTAACTCACTAAAGCTATTGCGACTTTCTTCATACTGGCTTTGAGAAAGTGCACATCAAGTAAGTTCTGCAAAAGCCAAAAGCCATCTCCGCACAAGAAAGTGCAGAGACACCACTAGAGTAGAGTTTCGGTTGCTATCAAGAAACCGAGAATCCTTAGGTGGATGCACTTGGTGGCACGGCACGTCTTCATGTCTCGGCGTGTCTCGACACGTCTCGGCGTCCCGTTCGCCTTGCCTTGGCTTCCAACTCATCGCGCCGTCTTTTGCGCTCCGCTGTGGTTGAACGCTTCGGAAGCTTTCGAACCTCTTTGGTATCTTGAGGCCTTCACGATGCGGAGAGAGTAAGGTAACAGCTCCGCAGAGAGTAAAGTCATAATACAATGGGTCTTTAGCAACTCTACTTTTCTCTTGTGGCCTCTTCTCGGAACTGCTCATGCTCTCTGAACACCTTTAGCAACAAGGAAAAGAACACACACACACACACAACTGCAACTTTCAAGGGTTATAGTCACAGTAAAAAAGAACAACTAAGAAAGACCGTAGAAAAGTGCACTGTGAGCTTCGGCTCTGCGGCTCTGGGTGTCTAAGTGTTCTACTCACTTTCATCTTTCTTGCCTCGTTGGTCTGGAGCTGGGCGCCTGTCTCAACAACCACTGTCCAACGACAGATGTGGCCTTCAACGTTCCAATTGCGCCGCTAGGGTTGCCACGCCCTCTTGCGAGGCTCATCGCCATCTGCTCTGTCTCTAGCCTGCAAGGTCACATACAGCACGCGTACAACACTCATCCGGGCTTCCGGAAAATGTAACGTTGTGAGAAATCCAAAAAGGGTCAAAAACGAGCGACCACGACTCGACGACGCGCCTCTCGGCTGTCCGAGCGCATGCATCGGCGGCGCCGACGACGGCGACCCTGTCGCAGGTCCTCGGGCCGAAGAGGGGTGGAAACTACTGCCATTTCGGAAGTTTCATGTCTCAGGGCACAAGAGCGAGGAGGAGGTCAAACTGTGAAACTCCAGCGCCCCCCTATGCAAAGAATCCAAACGATTTAGGCCAAGACTTCTGCGCTATGACCACGAGGTCTTCGGTCATCCTCTTGGCGGCCTCTGTGCCGCCTGAGGTGTCTCTTTGTCCAAAACCATCTCTGACCGTCTCTGAAGGTTCTGACTGAAGTAAGTACAGTATGTGGTGGTTGATCTAAATTCCTTTCATCTGGAAAGTGCCTCTTCGCGAAAAAAAGATTACTTTCGCGAACCCCATGTTTAACTTTCGCGAACTTTCGCGAAGTATGATCTTACATATTCAGAAGAAGTTCGGGTACATGGGTATATATAGTAGTTAAAGGAAGACTCTGATTTCCTTCTGAGCTGGTGGTCTGAAAAGATCACAGTAAGCAAACAAATAAGGGTCCCTTTACCTACAAATAACATACATGGTTACATGAACTTTCGCGAAAAAAAAAATATTACTTTCGCGAACCCTGTGTTTAACTTTCGCGATCTTTCGCCCGGTTGGTACTTAGTAACCGAAATGGCTGTTCCATATGAAACTCCTTTCATGGACCTTTAGATCGATGCCCATGTAGCTAAATCCGAGACTCCGAGACCTAAGGAGAGGGAAACCCATGGTAACCCTGCACACTCGCCTGCTCTGTCGATCAGGTCGTTCATCTCTTCTGGAGACGGGCCCATGCCGTCTTCTGCGGCGACCTCTAAATTTGCCCTATCCCAGCCATTGTGGAAGTTTGCAAAGTAGATGAATTTAGAAACTCTCTGAATTCGCCCTACACCTAGCCTTCTCTTCTATCATCGAGATCTGCCCGGTCACTCCGATCCATGCGACGACGCTCACCCTGTCTATAGCCTGGCTCCAGAAAGCACCATGAGTTGAGAATGCCACAAAGAGAGTGAAAACTCTGGACTGGACAAAACGCCATGTCACGGGGTTGGTGCATGAAGACAAAATGCTGTACCTCCGCGATCTCGTTCTCGATCCCGTTGGCCATGGCCTCAACACGACGAAGTGAAATGAACGGAAATGGCCAACTGCTCCGTCAATCCATCTGTACATCGAATCTGCACACCTCCTCGTTCCGGGCGGCCTCTCAATCGATCTCGCGGCCGATCACCTGGCAATCATTCTCTTTAAAGCCCGCTTCCCCGCCTCCCTACTTAATTAAGTAGGCGCCTAGTTAATTGATTTAAGTAGCTACTACCCACAGGATGCAAGATAGCTCGCGCTAATGATTTGAAATTCCTAGATTTTTAGGGAAACTTAAGGCTGGAGGCCATTGCTCACTCTGATGCCAACAAAAGTTCGTTCGACGGTGGCACCTGGGCGATCACCACGGCCCTGGTATCGACGGGGGCCTCGATGGCCATCCATGGAAACGAGCTGCTTCTGGTCTCGACTGAGAGCGTGACCAGGTGACATGCTTCGTCCACCACCTCGAGAGCGCTGTTTGAGAACGGGTGGCGTTCAAAGCAAAGCTATGCAAAGTTCGAATTCACCAAGCATAGGAAGCTAGCTGTCGCTGCAGGCAAAGCTTTGGCTTGAAATAGCAATGATGTCTGCGAACCAACTTGGACCCATGCGACCCCGCAACGTCAAAACAGGCCTGCCGTGGTGAGGTTTGGAAAAGCAGGTCAATACCAAGGCCAGGCTCTAATCGGACAAAGAGTCGAATGAATGGCCTTTCATGGAGGAGTGAACGTCACAAGAAAAGAGACATAGCCACAGCCGAAAAGATTCCGCGTGCCTTCGCCCACGCATGCTGCGGCTTCTTCCACCCCTCGCTCGAACATCCCGACGCTCCGGAGGGCCTCTGGGCCTCAAACTCGGTGCCACAAAGGACGAAAACAAAACAAATCTTGTCGATATCGATATCTTCTTTGACAAGATGAACGCTTGATATTGTGTAATGATCGTGGATGATGAACGCATGAAAATGCCTCTCCTTATATCCTTCTGGGTCTTGTTTTTTCACACTAATATTAAGACTTTTACACGTTCCGGGTCCCCGCCTCGCTCCCCGGTCACGATCCGAGCGATCTGCATACCTTCCACCGCCACCACCTCCACGTCTGTCGGCGCTTCTGCTGATGGCCTTGTCCTGAAGCTGTGAAAGGATGAATATATAATGGATTCATATGGACCCGTGTCAAAGGAATCAAAACCTAATCAGTCACTTTCCAGCTACAAGATGCTCCAGAGTTTCTAGTTCGCTCACGGGCAAGGCGGACTTGTGATGCGAAGCTGCGTTCGTGCGGTCTTGACATTACGCAAGCGCGTCCTCTTCAGCCTGGTTTTAGATTGGACCCTGTCCGGCATAGAGGCATCGTCCAAGTGTGAAAAAGAGCGTTCACAGATTGAGTGCGGATCGAAATGAAAGAAAGACAAGCGATGTTCGTATTTTTTGAGCGACGAGCTGCAATAGATCCTTAGCACAGTTGCCTCTCGTAGGGGTATGGTTCGGATTGGCATAAACACCTCCTTACAAGCCCTTAGAGCACAAAACGGCAAGTCAAAACTGTGCGGACTTTGACAGATGAAACAACATGATACTACCAAAGAGTAATGCCAGGAAAACAGCAACGTGAACCAAAATCACGATTTACTTCCTGTCTCACGGAATTCAAGAAGTTTTCAGAAACGCTCTTTGCATTGATGGGCATATAGGCCGCACGGCCAGTAGAACGTTGCCACAGCTGACAGCCCAGAAGGCCGGGACGTCTGGCAAGTGCAGGCAATGCCAAAGTGCACTGCAAACAGCACGAAGAGACCAGTGTTGCTAGTCATCCGCAGCTGCATGGTCACCAACAGTGATCCAAAGGGATATACTTGATGCTTCGAGCATGAGGTCTCCTTGATCCTGCAAGTTTGGGGAATAGACTAAACAGGAATACTGCAGAGAGGCCAAGAACAGTAGTACAAGCACCTTTTCCTGCACTCGGCTAGCAGTGGAGCTCAGACAGATTGGCTGGCATTCTTTCTTACCTCCACTACACATTGCTATGTCTCATTTTGTTGTCTATGAGTGTGGCATGATGGATCAGCACCATTCTGTTGATTCTTGTGGAGACTTGCTAACGTTTGCCGTGGCAGCATATTAGAGCAACGGATGGTGTGCCAGAAAAAACTTTATACTTTATACGGTTCCAAATTGAGCCTTACTTGGCAGCATGACCTGCAGAGGTTTTGGTGCTGTGCCGAATTGGATTCTCTCACCTGGTGATTGTTCTGTGCCTACCTTTCTATCCCCTCACTTGTCGTCCATCCAGTCTTTGTCAACCGCGATTTGCTCTGATGCGTCTCCCAACAGACAGTGCTACCAAACAAACAGAGCCTTCAAATGTGATTGAGTTTTGAAAAGAAGAGCAGGCAGCTCTATTAGTTTTTGTGGTCCACCCCAGCACCATTTGGTGGGTCATGTGTCCAAGACTGAAGGGTCAAATGCAGCAAACCAAAGAAAACTCATCATCGTGCATTATCCCCAACCAGGGAAGCAAGTGAAATCGGGCACATGATCCATACCAAAAGAAAAGGATGAAGAGAGCAAGCAACAGTTCAGCGCAAGGAAAGTAGAGACACGGGATGAAAGAAGAATGTATTTTACGCGATGAAAGATGATGAAAGCGAAGCAAAGCAAAGCATCTTCATCAGACCATGGTCCTGGACTCTATCCCGCAGCAGTCGACGTCGCTCGTCCTAGCCGCCAGTCATGACTGCAGTGTCAGTGTCAGGGTCGGTCAGTGTGGCCCACCTGGTCGATGAGTTTGGCCGTTGTGGTGCGGCCATCTATGGCAGCATCGTTCAATGCCTGGAGCCACATTGCTCCAGATGAGATCGGAGGGGAGCAGCTTGGAGGGATCAACTCATCTTTGTTTTCAACTCTGCAGCTCTTCACAGAGTAGATGTTGAAGACCTATGGACAAAAACTCGCTTGCTCCTTGGCCAATGCTGCTGCATCCTCGGGCGTTTCAGCTTCGAGCACCGCAGAGCGCGGATCGCCGGAGCGGCCTTATACGGCCAGAGGTTGTATTGAGGAAACGAAAAGCCAGGGAGCTTCTGCCTGTCAGAAGTAAGCTACTGACCAAAGAATGTAAGGTTTGCCACCTTGCCCGTAGAGGAGTAACGGTCGAACCTGAGATAAAGCAAAAGGTCCTAAAGATATCTAAAGTACAGTGATAGAATCGAAGACAGGAAACAAATAGTGATAGCCTTAGCTCCTCACCAGCCCAGACTCGACGCAGAATCTGGAAGATTTCGCACGACTAGAAACCTCCACTCTGTATGAATCTTGTGAGAGTAGCGGTGTGCGAGCGCATGAAAGCTGCATGTCATTCGCAAAATTGGCTGCAACCAAGAGGCTTATCATCTTCACGGGGGGCCTGATGCACTCGGCTTGAGAAGCTTCAATGCTTCTTGGGGTAGGTTGTGGCAAAAAGGGTAGATGGGCAAGGTCACACTGGCCGCACTGGTCACGCCTCCTTGGTCTCCCCATTGGGTCGTTGCGAGTCCTCCAGAAGAAGTTCCAGTACTTCAGCTGACATGCACCTGTCACTACGCTACCAACATGAAATACAAATTATATATATACTGCACCATAATTACTAAATGTCTCACATATTTATATATATATACCCCCCCTTCCAATACACACCCAAAGTGTGTTCTACACTGTAAATTACAGAGTTTTTGTGATATTTTGGGCTCATCTTTTTGAGTGATATGTTTGAGACCTTTTTTCAAAGGATTGTTTGGAACAGTTTCTGGAGGGTGGTACCATATGTATGTATGTATGTATGAATGTATGTATATATATATGGTACCCCCCCAAGAACGACCTCTTTGTATGGTTCATTGTAATTGCCAATGTGTCATTTTGGGACCTGTGTGCACATAACTCTTTTAAACACTGTCCACATAGGGGGTACCATATATATATATATATATCCAAAGAATCTAAAAAGTAGAAAAAATCCAAAACTAGTAGGACTATTAAGACCTCCTCCATGGTGTGTGAAGTTTTGGATTTTTTGATAACTCGAGGAAATCCAAAAAATTAAGAAAGAAAATCCAAAACTATCAGGCCTATTGAGACCTCCTCCATGGTGTGTGAAGTTTTGGATGTTTTGGATAACTCGAGGAAATCCAAAAAATTAAAAGAATATATAATAAATAGTTGTTTTGTTTAAAAACTATCAGGCCTATTGAGACCTCCTCCATGGTGTGTGAAGTTTTGGATTTTTTGGATTTTTTGGATAACTCGAGGAAGTCCAAAAAATCCCACCAAAAAAATCTAAAACTATCAGGCCTATTGAGACCTCCTCCATGGTGTGTAAAGTTTTTTCCCGAATGCGTAGCGAAGGGTTCTCGTTTAACTCTTGGGGGTCCGGGGGTAGAGCCTTGTTCGCGACCCGTTGCTTCTATGTTCGCAACCGTCCGCAACCGTCCGCAACCGTTCGCAACCGTCCGCAACCGTCCGCAACCGTTCGCAACCGTTCGCAGTAGAGCGCTAAGGCGCTGCCATTGGGGGAAGCTTTTGCAAGTGACTTTTCATGGATGTGTCACGTGTCAGTTTGCGCCGCTATTCCATTGTGATTTGCATGAAAATGAGATGTCGCGCAAGAAACGTGATGCGTTTCGCTGCACAGGCGCAGCGTTTTGTGAGATCGGCAGATTGCTGCGGAGTTCCATTGGGACTAGCGTTTGGAGAGTCGTGTTTTTGGGGTGTTGGATGTGGCTGTGCCATTGGGATTTGCGTTTCAGGGTGTGGCATCGAAGCTCTGTTTTCGTGACAAGTCTCAGCTGAAATGCCGATTTTGGTGGATGGGAGTGTGCTCAGAACGGGTCGAAATCATTCCAACTGTGTGGTGGGGTGCAAATTTTGTTGAAGCTCACATGCGACGACATTGTCACTTTTCGTGGCAGGCGCAGTACTTTGTGCGGCTTTTGAGGTGTGGAAGTAAGAGTGTCCCGTAAGAGTGTCCCGCAACCGTGTCCCACAAGAGTGTCTCACAAGAGTTAAGAGTGTCCCACAAGAGTGTCCTATAAGAGTGTCCCACAAGAGTGTCCCACAACAGTGCCCTACAAGAGTGTCCCACAAGAGTGTCCTACAAGAGTGTCCCACAAGAGTGTCCCACAACAGTATCCCACAAGAGTTTCCTACAAGAGTGTCCTATAAGAGTGTCCCACAAGAGTGTCCTACAAGAGTGTCCTACAAGAGTGTCCCGCAAGAGTGTCCCAAATGAGTGTCCCGTATGAGTGTCCCACAAGAGTGCCCCGCATGTCCCACAAGAGTGTCCTACAAGAGTGTCCCACAAGAGTGTCCCGCAAGAGTGTCCCAAATGAGTGTCCCACACGAGTGTCCCACAAGAGTGTCCCGCAACAGTGTCCCACAAGAGTGTCCTACAAGAGTGTCCCACAAGAGTTTCCTACAAGAGTGTCCCACAAGAGTGCCCCACAAGAGTATCCCACAAGAGTGTCCTAGAGGAGTGTCCCACAAGAGTGTCCTGCAAGAGTGTCCCACAAGAGTGTCCCACAAGAGTGTCCCACATGAGTGTCCCACAGGAGTGTCCCACAAGAGTGTCCCGCAAGAGTGTCCCA